CAGATGCACTAGTTCAATTAAGAAGATGATTTAATAACTCCGTATTATTAAACTGGTATTCTCTTTCCTCGGCAAAATTTGCTCCAATTGTGATCAAAATGTTCTCAACAGCTGTCATGAGACTAGATAGCTTTTCATTAGTGATATTGGCAACACTATTGACATTGAAGATGGCATTGAGAACAGACTGAGTGGAGGAATCAACAGCACCATTAGTAGCATTAGCAAGAGTAGCAACATTGAGAATGGCACTGACTGAGAACAGGCTCAGTTGAAGTATCAACAACACCATTAGTAGCATTAGCTTGAGTGGCAACATTAATTATAGCATTGAGGACATTGGCAATTGAATGAGTTGTTAAGCCTGCAGTCTGAGCAAGCCTATTCAACATTGTTGTATCATTCAACCTCCTCTCTATCTCTGCTAACATAATCTGGGACACTTCTTTGACAGCATACTGTGTATTAGTGCTGGTATTAGCAAGATCAGTGAGGACATTATCATTTGAAGTAACAGGAGCAGGTCCACTATCAGAGCTGGTGTTGGTATTCAACTGCAAGTAGAGAATAACAATGGCAGCTACCAGTAGAAGAACCAGTAACCTTCACTTTTCCTTGATAAGGTTCAGGGAAGCCACCATCATTATCATACTCTTATAGCTCATAAATCTTCCTATTATCATCTGTCTCCATGACTTAGAGAAGAATTCAAGAAATCAATTGTAGATATATTCATTTACTGTATGTCTCTACACACATATACATGCAAAGCAGCTTATGAATATACTCTACTATACATCACACCACTCATTTCAAACATCACCTTGTGTGGCCATGCAACATATGATGTCAAAATCACTCTAAATAAAACAATTTTTCTATCAAAAAAAATGTTAAGTAGATTACACAGCACAACATAAGTTTGGCCTAAGTGTTCTAAAAGCACTACTAAGAAGCATAAGTTTCTATTTTACGTAAATCTCATAAAAGCTAAGGGGAATATCTTCATCAAAATAACTAGTATCAGCACAGACCCTAAACTCAATATAGTCAGTAGTGGTATTGCTACCATAGTCTCTGTGAAACCATGGGATACCAGTAGCATTGCAACAAGGTGATTCAGCCCCACCACAACCTTGACCATCCCAGAGTGGATCAGCTGTGTAGAGAGTGTTGCCCCAACTACTAGAGCTAGGATTTCCAGACTCACAGAAATAATCATTGCCCATAAAAGAACGGACTGATTGAGAACTGCCACTTGCACATGGACATAGCGTTGGATAAACTTCTGCTATCAGAGACCAGACATGTTGACGAGGAGACCCACGAGTGATACTAACACCATCAAGATAGTTTGCGTTAATATTATTTTGTCCATCAATACCATTAGGTGATCCCCATTGATATCCTGTTACTCTACCACATATCTGAGAATAACTGATACCATTAGATGGGTATGTAACAGAATTACTGCAACCAGAAGCACTGTTAGTCCTACCACAAACTCTAACTCCTCCTGACTGGTAGTACCTCAATCCAGAAGGACAGTTCTGTGTAGCATCAGACATATCCAGATATGCTAGTCTTGTCCATCCTCCTCCTGAACCACACAATGAGTCCATATTACAGTAGGTAGTATATGTTCCAGTAGGTCCTGCCAGTGTATAAAAACCTGATGGATTGAGTGGTTGACTCTCTTTAATCTCTTTACAAGAGGTAGGTAAAGCAGTTGATACGTTATGCAGTATTAATAGTTCTTGTGCTATTAGTAGTATATCATCAACCACTCCAGCAGTAGAGGTACTGGTGCCTTGTAGATTAGAGAGAGTATTGACAAAGTGAGTAGTGCACGCATTAGTAGATTTTATCAGCAACTTTAACATTTCTGTATCGTTCAACCTCCTCTCTATCTCTGCTAACATAATCTGAGACACTTCTTTCACAGCATTTTGTGTATTAGTGCTGGTATTAGCAAGATCAGTGAGGACATTATCATTTGAAGTGACAGTAACTGGTGCACTATCAGAACTGGTGCTGGTGTTTAACTGCAGGTAGAGTATAACAATGGCAAGTACTAACAGAAGAGCGAGTAACACCAGTTGTATTATGGTAATAACAAACTGTATCCTTTCTCCTGTGGACATTTCTCGTGCCTTCACTTCTCCTTGATAAGGTTCAGGCAAGCCACCATCATTATCATACTCTTGTAGCTCATAAAGCTTCCTATCATCTGTTTCCATGACTTAGAGAGAAGGCTAAAGGCAGCAATTGCAGAGAAAATAATAATATTCATGTACTGTACAGTCCCTAGGCATATTAATAGACAAAGGCTTCACATGCAACTTATGAATATACTATACTGTGCATCAGACCACTCATACAACACTTTGTGTGGCCATGCAACATGCATGCACCTTTGATGTCAAAATCACTCTAAAATGAAACAATTTTTCTATCAAAAAAATATCACAATAGCAAATGTTAATTAGACTATATAGACTAGCGCAGCATAAGTTTAGCCTAAGTGTTCTAAAAGCAGTTGTCAACACACAAAACACATGCCTTATCTATTTTACATATATTTCATAAAAGTTAACAGGACTATCTTCATCAGTGAGAGCATTACCAGTAGCACAGACCCTCAACTCAATATAGTCAGTAGTGGTAGTGCTACCATAGTCTCTGTGAAACCATGGAATACCAGTAACATTACAACAAGCTGCTTCATTAGAACCACAACCTTGACCATCCCAGAGTGGATCAGATGTGTAGAGAGTATTAACCCAACCAGAAGCATGATTACCAGACTCACAGAAGTAATGGTTTCCTACAAAAGATGGGACAGTCTGGGTGCTTCCTGTTGAACATGGACAGTTCCATGGTTCTACATAAGTATGAGAATCACTTAAACCATTTGCTAGTGTCCAGACATGTTGACGAGGAGACCCACGAGTGATACTAACACCATCAACATAATAAGAGTTAATGTCACTTGGTCCATGAAATGCATTTGCTGAATGATACTGATATCCTATTACTCTGCCACATATCTGAGAATAACTGATACCATTAGATGGGAACTGAACTGATACACAGCCACTGCCTGGTCTACCACAAGCTCTAACTCCTCCTGACTGGTACAGTCTAAACCCAGAAGGACAGTTCTGTGTAGCATCAGACATATCCAGATATGCTAGTCTTGTCCATCCTCCTGAACCACACAATGTTCCGAAATCACAGTATGTAGAATATGTTCCAGTAGGTCCTGCCAGTATATAATAACCTGATGGACTGTTAGGATGTTGTTCTTGGAGATGTTTACAAGAGGTAGGTAAAGCAGTTGATACATTGTGTAGTACTAATAGTTCTTGTGCTATTAGTAGTATATCATCAACCACTCCAGCAGTAGAGGTACTGGTGTCTTGTAGATTAGAGAGAGTATTGACAAAGTGAGTAGTGCACGCATTAGTAGATTTTATCAGCAACTTTAACATTTCTGTATCGTTCAACCTCCTCTCTATCTCTGCTAACATAATCTGAGACACTTCTTTGACAGCATACTGTGTATTAGTGCTGGTATTAGCAAGACCAGTGAGGATAATATCATTTGGAGTAACAGGAAGTGCCGGTGTACTATCAGAGCTGGTGCTGGTGTTTAACTGCAGGTAGAGTATAACAATGGCAGCTACCAGTAAAAGAACTAGTAACACCAGTTGTATTATCGTAACAACAAACTGTATCTTTCCTGCTGTAGACATTTCTTGTGCCTTCACTTCTCCTTGATAAGGTTCAGGAAAGCCACCATCATTATCATACTCTTGTAGCTCATAAAGCTTTCTATTATCTGTCTCCATGACTTAGAGAGAAGGCCCAAGGTAGCGATTGCAGAGAAAATGTACTGTACAGTCACTAGACACTGATATTAATAGACATAGGCTTCACATGCAACTTATGAATACACTATACTATATATCACACCACTCATTTCAAAGTAAACAATACATTGTGTGGCCATGCATGCAACATGATCATGTTTAATGTCAAAATTATCATTAAAAGCATAATAAAAAATATAAAAGTATTTGATGCTAAAAAAGTATAGGGTTCTACAAAACACTTTCAACACACATAAAGCATATGCTATAACTATTTTACATAAATCTCATAAAAGCTAAGAGGACTATCTTCACCAGAATAACCAGCATCAGCACATATTCTCAACTCAATATAGTCAGTAGTGGTAGTGCTACCATAGTCTCTGTGAAACCATGGGATACCAGGAACATTACAACAAGGACCTTCGTTGCTACCACATTTCTGACCGTCCCAGAGTGGATCACTAGTGTAGAGACTGTTACTGGCACCTCCATCATTGCCAGACTCACAGAACCAATTGCTACCCATAAATGAACGAACTGATCCAGAATTACCACTGGCACATGGGCAGCTAGTCTGAGCATATTCAGCTAAGAATGACCAGACATGTTGACGAGGAGACCCACGAGTGATACTAACACCATCAAGGTAATTTGCGTTAATATCATTTGGTCCATCAATGCCATCAACATGACCAAATTGATATCCTGTTACTCTACCACATATTTGAGAATAACTGATACCATTAGATGGGTATGTAACAGAATTACTGCAGCCAGAACCACTGTTGGTCCTACCACAAACTCTAACTCCTCCTGACTGGTAATACCTCAATCCAGAAGGACAGTTCTGTGCAGCATCAGACATATCTAGATATGCTAATCTTGTCCATGCTCCTGCTGAACCACACAATGTTCCCATATTACAGTAT